CAATTATCGTTAGATACTAATTACTTACCTTACTAGTCATTAGTATTACAATAAATGACTGAATGCTTGGTAGACGTACAATGGTATATAATAATTTATAGGTTCCCCAAATCCCCTGATCTACATCATCAATAAGTTCTGGATTTTCTGTTTTGAACCACCAAACTAAAGTTGTAGTGATCAAAAAGACAAATCCCCAAAAATATACAAACCCTACAAAGAAATGTAAACAGAATATTGGTATGTAAACGGTCATAACTATTTTTTTGAACTTCACAAAGTCAATTAAAATCAACTTTTAATGCAACCTTTGAAAGCTTTATTGACAAATATTGAAAAACATTGCATTTTGTTGTCATTTTAAAAAAATGAATAAAACTTGGCCAGCACAACACACAGGATGAAAAGCAAAACCTTTTTCTTGACCTCATGTGAATTTCATTAATAGAGGGCACTGTATTTATATGAATTTCATAGAGGGCGCTGTATTTATATGAACTGCACAAATAGAGGGCGCTGTATTTATGTGTATGAGGTAACTCGTAACAATTCCGGTATTCTGATTAGTCCGTCACTTTCTCGTTGCTTGTTCTATTTCCCTTGTTAACCTGATGTTAGCGCTTGTGCTCATGGCCCTAAAGCAGGGGTTTCCTTTTACTCTCGAAAGTTAGGCGAATATATCATAAAACTGTTTTTGTTACAAACACAGCAAGAAATGCCAGAAACATCTCAAATATGTAAGTCTAAGCAGGCAGAATGTATGGGCATGGCATAATGAAGATTTGTTTACAGAAAACAAATAATATTACGTCCCTTAGTCATGTGACTTTGGGCCAAATCCTGAACCAGTGGAACAATATGGCGATTACTAGTTTAATACCTGCCCTTCACAAGGGACGCCGGGAACCAGCGAATTATGTGTACTGCATGAATAGAGGGTGCTGTATCTATGTTAATTTCATAAATAATTTCTCAAGTATAGCGGGAAACAGTTGTCTTCACACGATGTTAACAGTCAATCAATCAATCTACGCTGGGTGAGCCACTGTTCAGTTGTCTTTAAACGTTTTTTCTCATAGTCTGATTCACTAGTTCTTTGGTCTGGATGAAACCCTACATCAACCCTTTGGTGCGCATGTTTATGCAACAAGTATAGATTCCCAGCTGTACTTTCCCCCAAAGGGGTTTTTATTTTTGGTTTTTCATGTTTGTTTTTTATCATTATTGTTTTAGTAATGTTAATTTCAGTTATGATAGTTTTTTCCTCATCTGGTTGTTTATGGTTTACATTTATGCAAGTGAGTTAAAAAATAATTAATTATATATTTTCGGAGGGATTTTTTTTTTATTTATTCCCAAATTAGCTAATTTTTTGTTTTCTTTCAGCCTTAGATTAAATTTTTCTTTCTAAAAATGTAACTTCAAGTTTAAATTTTCTCTTCAAAAAGCATAGCATGATATGTTGAATAACACACATGACATTAGCAGTAGTTTACTTACACAAACCAAAAATTGAAAGTTTTTGAAAACCAAACAGGATCATGTTAAACATAATTAAATAAAACAATAGTTGTGCAGTTCAGACAACACAAGTCAGTTTTTTATTTGTCAACCCTAGCAGAATTATGTAGACATGTGAAAAATAACACTGATGGAATTATGTATTAAAAGATGGAGGAAATAAACTTATGCACATTTTGGAACCATAGTTACATGTATATGTGATGAACTTCCAAATGACATCACATAATGAAACTTTGCTATGTTATAGAATTGAAGGTGTTCTGCTCATTAGCATCACGGATTGTCATGGATGCTGTATCAGTAACTTGATTAAACATACCAATATGTAAATGGCAAAGTACAGTTGAACAATTAAATTCTAAATATATTCAGTATTCAGTATTTCTTCTATTATGGTATATATTTGTTGTACAACTGAATAATTAAAATATTTCTTGTATTGAACACAGCAATACCTCTGTAATTTACAAAAGTGCATACTCTACTTATAACCCAAATGTGATAATTAAATTTTCCAAAATTATTTAAGCTTACCTGCTAAAGTAATAAGTCCTTCTGGCTCAGGCTCAGATCTCATATATTTGTTACAGAAATCAGCAGATTCTAATGCAAGAAACACAACATTACCAAGAAAATATCCGGCAGTCTGTCCCACCGAATTGCATGTGGAAGCATAGCCAACATTTCGTCGTGACAGCATTGTCAAAGCCCACCCATCAACAGCGATGTCTTGAGTTGCGGCCAAAAAATTCAACATGAAAAAAATGACAGTTAACATAAAAACATCTGGCACAAAGCCTTCTTGTCCATCCCCGAGAAGCTCTCCGACATGTTGCGATAAAAATATCATGAAAAATCCTATCAGGTACTGAGTTGGAACAAGCCAGGTTTTTCGGCGACCGAACTTGGTTGAGTAGACAGCATCAACAATGGGAGCCCACAATAATTTCACGCTGAATGGCCAGTAAACAAAACTGAACATTGCTTGTTGTTTGTATCCCACATTGCGTCCCTGAAGAACTAATGGTATACTTCCAGCCAATCCCAGAGGAATACCTTGTAATATATACAAAAATAACAGTACGGCTATATTCAGTTTATCTCCATCAATATTTGTTGCCACTGCATCAGTCTCATCACCTGCTTCCTCATCTTTCTTATCGTAGTGCATTGGCGCATGTGGAAACAAAAATTCTGAATCCAGACTGGTATCTGCCGCGGAGACATGTACCTGTACTCTTTTTCGTGACATGATTGGCCTCGGTTGTTTTAAAGATACTGTCAAGAAAGTTATATATATGAATATTATAGCATTTACAAGTTTGAAAAGGCTCTATTACATGTACACACAATCCTAACTCTCCAGGGCACCTTCTCCAATTTATAATGCTCCAGCTAATGTCAAACTTCACCCTCCCCACCTCTGGGTTTAGTGGGAGATTTGGAAATGATTGTTGTAAAATTTGCCAAATGCCCCACTTCCTGGGGCAAGGATAGGCAAATCCCCACCCAAACAACCCCCCACATTTTCCCCAACGATCGCCACTGTCCGCCATGATTGCTATCAGCAGAGTACTCAATGAATGTATATGCATGCGCAGCTAGTGATGATGGGACACGAAACACGGCTATTATTCCACCCCACATTTGTCCCATATTGCCCGAGGTGGGAAGGGTCGGGTTGACATTGACTGGAGCATAAGCCCTTCTTGAGAACACATAGATATTTACTGTGGAATACTTTATTTTCGCTGGAATTAATTTTCACTGAAAAGACTTTTTGGGCGTTTTGTATGGAGTTTATTTTCACTGATTTTTGATGAGTTTAATGTGAAATATAGGAAAAAAAGTATATTCGCTGGATTTTATTTTCACGGAATCATCCCTTCAGTGAAAATAAATTCCAAGCAAAAATAAAGTATTCTACAGTAGTATGATATATATGAACATATCAAGAATATGTTTTTTAATATCACACATTAGCCTCAAATTAATTGAAGTAATTGAGTTGAATTAATTAATTATTATGTCCGGTATATTGTAGTTGTTAATTGAACAATTATCTGAACAAGAGCGAATGTGACTGCAGTCTTGAATAAATAATGGAGCACAGTCCACAGGCGCTCAGAACGTTTCTTGGATAATAAAAAAATGACCTAAAGTAAGGTCAGCATAAGTTAGTCAGTCGCCGGTTCATTCGCCTACGACTCATACAATATTATATGAGTGGTAGGCAAATGTACCGGTGACTGACTACGTATACCGACCCTACTTTAGCTCTTTATTATCCAGGAAACGTTCCGAGCGCCTGTGCACAGTCCAGTCATTCTATTTATCTATCTACCTGATAGAGGGACGATTAATAGAGAAAGTACAATGTAAAATTCATACTTTCAGAAAAATCCGTTTCCCAGCATGGTAACCTCAAAGACACGTACGTATAACAGTTATATAGTATGCGTTTCTAGATGGTCACAGGGTTCCTTGCGTAAACACATGCCCTTATATGTAATGAACTTGAAAATTGTTTGTACTCGTATTCGTATCGTTTGTACCAGCAACTGGACATGTCGACTCAGGTTTTGACGGGATCGTCTCAATAAAACACCAGCTTACCCTTCAAATTTCTGTACGATCACGGTCCCAAACACAACATATCACTATATATCATGCATATTTGTTGTGCATGTCATAGTTTAAAAACAACGTGGCATTACTTTACCGGTTTCCATATGGTTGCAAACAGCCCGGCTTGGTGGCGCACTTCAGGTCAAAGTTGACTACAAAAGCTGTAGAAATTAGTCTGGTTCCCTGCCCCATTTCAACGCTGAGGGCGGTTTTAGAAAAGGGTCAGCGGTGAAAACTTGGGCAGGAAACCAGACTATGTAGAAATCAGACGTAGAAAATTCTCCTTATACTTCAACCAAAAATATGTAAATTTATTCAAAGATAATAAAATATACTGAACAAAAGTAATGAAAACAGTGATATTTTAAAAAACATTAGCCCTCGTGTGACCTTTCCCGTCATTCCTTATGTCACAACAAGTTCAAAATGGCGGCCTCTGACAATCCAAAAATATTTCTCAGCGACGAAGAAATACAAGACGACGATGAGCCAACGAACCGAGAAGAAGGTAAACCTCAAATTCATATTTAAAACATAAGTCTGCTTTTTGCAGAAATCGTCGAAATTCTGGTGGAACTGATTTTACTGACCATAATTTATTCAGTGCGTGTGTACAGGGTTACGTCGTTGAATCAAAACGGATGAGTGTCTGTTCTTTCAAATATTATTTCTTCTCAATTATGATGCTGTTTTTATTCGATAACGATTCTTATCCCGAAACACAGTTCTGTACACAGACAATGACTGGAACTTACACTAAATGGAGATACGTACATGGCCTTACAGGCTACCTTTTATGAATGAAGTCCAAATGCGACACATGGTTCAGACATGGTTCAGAAGGTGACCACCGAACTCGGCCAGAATTCTACTCGGCCAGTGACCGATCACGGCCAGTGACCGTACTCGGCCAGCATATGTGTTAATGGGTTTGTCAAAGGGTGTCGATTTCAGTGACGCAACAGTAAAATGTTTAAAAAAAATACATGGGCCCCAAGGGTTATCGATCTCAGTGATGCAATAGCGAGCGCGATTTCAGTGATGTCTATCGTGCTTTATTAATAAAAAAAGGGTTGTCGATCTCAGTGATGCAAGAGCGAGCGCTGTGTCTTTTGTCATATCACAGTAAAATGTTAAAAAAAATACACGGGCACCAAGGGTTGTCGGTCTCAGTGATGCAATAGCGAGCGCAATTTCAGTGATGTCTATCGTGCTTTGTTAATAAAAAAAAGGGTTGTCGATTTCAGTGACGCAACAGCCAGCGCTGTGTCTCTTGTCATATCACAGTAAAATGTTTAAAAAAAATACACGGGCACCAAGGGTTGTCGATCTCAGTGATGCAATAGCGAGCGCTGTGTCTTTTGTCATATCACAGTAAAATGTTTAAAAAAAATACACGGGCACCAAGGGTTATCGATCTCAGTGATGCATAGCGAGCGCTGTATAACAGACTGCAGAGTCAAATCACATACAATATAA